CTCAGGGTGAGAAGAAGCTGCACTGAGAAATACACAGCACAGGTCCTGGCACACCATAAGGTTCTGCCAAGGTTCTGTGCCAGGTCGGGGCTAAGACAACAAATTGGGATTAAAAACGCAGTTCGAGTTGGGTGTGACCATGGAAGATGTGGGTGGGCAGAGTGCCCTCCTCCTTCTCAAACTTTCTGTAATGTGGTTGTCCTTTACTGCAGCAACTTCAGTGATGCGGCTCAGGTTTCCCACTGACATCTCCAAACCAGGCCGCTCTGGAGCTCCCCTGCAGTCCACCTCTGTACTGTCCTGTTCCCTGTAGGAACAAACCACTTTCCCAGAGCCCAGCTGAAAGCAGATGTGGGTATGCAATTTGGAGGTCGCTTATTGTTGTCTTTTATTTAAGCATCACCAATTTGTGTAAATAACACATCGTCTTAGGACAGTTTCACTCTGGTTTTCTTTATCACATGTCAGGGCCCTGGCCTCAGAGAGGGGGAAAATAGGAGTGTTTATCCCTCCTTCCCTGGAGGAAGTTGGATCATATAATCAAGATTAAACAAATATGTAAACTTCGCTATGACTTGGCTGCATTTTATCCTAACATATAGTTGGGTTTGCAGGAAACGTCCCCTTATAGTAACAAGGCAGTATATCTCCTTGAACAGCCCAGCCTTCATTGAAATTGTCAGACCGCTCCAGAGGAACATCTGCTTAGAATTCCCAAGCTGTTTTGTAAAGTAACTCGGGCAGAGAGATAAGATTGGGGAGGACCAGTTTTGGGGAAGGGAGATAAAAATAATCAAATCAGCCTTTTGATCCATGGTCATATTTGATGTTTCCTGGAGACTTTGCCAGTGAAGGGAACCTTGGTCTGTGGGCACTGGAGGAACCTATGGTCCAGAGGTTGGGTGGCCAGGACAAGGCCGTGGCGTGTGTGGAGGACACAGGCCCCTGATGTCCCCAAGCAGCTTCTGCTGTTGATGTACATGGGGGCACCTGCTTGAGGTCTGTCCTTCTGTAACAGTGGCCCTTCCTCTTGTCCTGTGGTTCTGGAGATGGTCTGCAGTCTAGGTCTGAGCCTGCCCCCTCATTGCAGGGAGCCCTGGCCTGGCAGGGTCCTGATTTGTGGGGAACCCTTTTGTAGCCCCCTCTGCCCTGTGCTGTGTGGCTGAGCCTCTTGGCTCGGCATTCAGGGCCTTTCCCTCTGGTCCTGGGAACGTCTGCAGCACTCTTGCCCCTCATCCCTGAGAAATAGTGGCCTCCCAGCCTCATGTACCTTCTGCCACACCCACGCTGTTCCTTTGCCTCCCCCACACTCCAGCTTTCCCTGTGGCCTGCAGCATTCTGCTCTGCTCCCTGGAGACCTAGCTCTGTGGCCATCATCCCTGCTGCAAACCCTGGCCCAGTCCAGAGCCTCCCCTGGCCCTAACAGCCCCTGGATGCTGATGCCCAGGGTGGCCTTTCTGAAGCCCTGTTGCCATTGTGTCTTCAGTTGTGACTCCACCGATACTTAAATTCGCGAGGTTGGGGTGCGTGCCACATGCCCAAAGACAAGGGAGTGGATGAGCAATGGAGTAAACATTTTGCTTGCTGCCCTCTTGTGCCAGCCCAGTGCCTGGCTGGCTCCGGGCAGCCTTGCCTAGGGGTGAAGGGAGTCAGAAGGTCACCTCTTGCCTGTCTCTTCTATATCAGGTATCTACACCCCAGCAATTTCATCCATCCTGTGTTCCTGGTGGGGTAAACTGGTTAAAAAGACATGTCTGGGAGTTACACGAATCTGGTTGCAGTCCACCTCTACCCTTGTCTATACCAGCTGTGTGACTTTGGGCAAGTGACTCAACCTCTCTGAAATTCCATTTCTTTGTCCACACATGGTAGGGATGGAGAATAGTAGTCCTTACCTCATAGGGTCACTTTGAGGATTAAATGAGGAAATGTGTAGCAAATAGCCATCCAGAGCAAGTGTCCCTTATAAATTTACTGAATGCATGGTGGCTCTATCAATCTCGGCATTTTTGATTGAAGTATCAGAACCCCAGCTCAGCCTGGCTTTTAAGCAAAAGAAGTCCGCCAGGCTGAAGTGTCTGCAATCATCTGCTCAGGCCTGAGCCACACCTCAATTTCTAGATGTGTGAGGTTACCCCACTCGAAAACCAGGACATAGTAATAGGAAAGGGAGGGACCAACGCTGGGCAGGCAGAAACAGCAGATGCCCGCACGACGAACAGTTGTGCAACATGTGGAAAAATGGGATGGCCCAAGTCTATGGGAGGCCAGGCCTCCAGCCAGGGCCTTAACCACCTGCAATGAAAGTAACCTCTCGCTTCCTGCCTCACTGCAACAGGGTAGCCTGGAAGAAGAGTCCACAAAAGGGGCTCCTGCCCTAGCCCTGCAGACCTTGTGCTTGGGCAGGCCCTTCTTCCTTAATTGGCCCATTTCCCCATCTGTACAATGGGCTGGTAGAGGAAGTGATCTCTTAGTCACTCTTGCCCTAAGGATAATCCACACAGCAGCTGGCATTTACCAAGAGCCTGAGGGTGCCAGGCCCTCGCTAGGCATGGGGGATCAAAGCCCAGCCCTGGGGGATTGAAGCCCTGCCTTCCCCTCTGTCTCCCCCTCAAGTGTGCGGTATAGAACCAAAAGGCCTTTTCCTATATTGTATATGCTTTACCCATTGACTGTAACATCCAAAGGAGCATTTTCTTCCTCCTGGAAAAACTGATGAAAACCCCCAAATCTCTACTACTTTCAAAAGCTATCCAGAATGTGCCCCCTTCCCACCACCTCCGCCGGTCGCCCTCCCTCCACCTGCCGTAGGCTTGGCTCGGTGACCAGTGTCCTTGCCGCCCCCTCCCCAGCTGTCCGCTCTGCACACAGTGGCCTGAGCAGTCTCCTGCATCTCTGCTCCGAAGCTTTGGCAGTCACTTCCTATTCAGAGTAAAATGGTTAAAGAGCTAAGGAAGAACTCTGGAATCACCTCACTCCCTCCCGGACTCGTTTCCGGAATCCCGCTCCCCTAACGCTGATGCCATTCTAGCTGCACTGGCTCCGGTCCTGCCAGCCCAGTCCCCCCTCAGGGCCTCTGCGCTTGCTGTTCCCTCTGCCTGGAATGCTCTTCCCCAAATGCCTTCATGGCTCACTCCTTCGCCTCTCTTAGGTCTCTGTTCAGAAGTCACCCATTGGCGAGGCCCTCCCTGAAAATCCTGTCTAAAATAACATCCTCTCTCTGACCCCTTCCTGGGCTACATTTTTGTCTGAAATGCATCCCACTGGGGCACAGCACAGGTTTACTTATTGCAGGACTTTTCCCACTGGACTATCAGCTCCATCGGCGCGGAAGCCTCGTCTGTCTTGGGAATTGCTATCTCCCAGTGCCTATCCTGATGTCTGGCACATACTGGACGCTCAATAGTTGTTAAATGACTGAATGACAGAAGTCTCTTAAGTTCTTTCTTTAATATGGGGCGTTGGCTTTGCTCCTTGAATTTTGTCTTCTGCAGGGCAGTGGTTTCTTCTTGAAGAGGGGGCTCCCAGCTTCCCTGCAAAGTTCCCCAGGCTCGGTGACCAGGGCTCCCTTCCGTGTGGGCCCGGGAGGGGCAGTGGCACGCGCCTCAGTATTCACCACCACCTCCACCCAAGCGCCCAAACCACAGCGTGGGCTGCGGCAGGCGTGGGAGGAGAGCCCTGCTGTGGCTTCCCATTCTCCAGGGCAGCCCCGCTCACTGCGCCGTGGGCTGCCTGCGAGCTAGGAGGACTTGCCGTGAAAATGGCCCATGCCTGCAGTAATCACCCACCTGCTGCCTCCCCAGGCTGCCCCTGAGGGGGGAGGTGACTACTCCCACTCAGTTCCAAGCCACCCGGGGCCCTGACCAATAGCCAGAGCCTCTGAAAGGAGACCACCCTATGATCCTAAGGAGCAGAATTTCCTTAGAAACAAATCCCAGAGGTGTGTGTTCCAGAAACGCCAACTTGCTCCCAAAGAATGCCTTCATCTTCTGTGGGTAAGGGGAGGGGGCCACACAGTCTTGGCCTGAATGGGTTTCAGAACATCAGTAACAACAGCGTCAGGTTGTTAGTGGCCCACGACACTGTACTTTGTGCCAGGTAATGGTCAGGGACTTCATCCGTGTTATCCTTCAGCGGCTGGCTTAGTTAAATCATGCTCTCGTTCCGCAGCAAGGAGCTCAGCTAGAGAACTGCACACTGGGTCCCCTATCACACGGCCAGCAAGCACCAAAGAGCTGGGATTCCAGGCCACCTCGGAGAGCCCAAGGGAGGCTCACTGTCTGTGGCCCCTCTTGTCTTGCTTCTGAACAAAACCCACACAGAAAAGCAGCCGAATCCCCTCACCACTGCCCGAGAATCCAGGGCTCTCGCTACTCTTGGAGGAACTCTGCAGCCCAGAGATGACCCTGAGAGGAAGCTTCCAGAACTGGAGGGGTTCAGTGGAGATGGAGAAGTCATTGAGCCCAGGCTAGTGGTTGTAACGACACTAGTGTTGGCCTGTCTGAGAGTGGACTGGCTTGCAACACACACACACACACACACACACACACGCACGTGCATGTGGAATTAAGCTTCGGTTTGGCCATCTGTGAATGGGTAAAATGCTCTGGAAAGAAATTGTGTTTGATCTCCATTTGGTCTAGGCTAGAGTCTTCTAAAGTTTCTTTCCTGGTTTTTGGGGTTTTTTGGATACTGGGACTCGAACTCAGGACCTCGCACCTGCACTGTCTGAAGTTTATGAGTGGCCTTTCCCTTAAGATGCAATTTCACGAGAAAGTTTTTTTTTTTTTTTTTTTGTCTTTTTGAGACAGGGTCTCTCTGTGCAGTTCAGGCCGGTGGTGAGCTCACTTTGTAGCCCAGGCTGTCCTTGAACTCGCAAGGATCCTCCTGCCACAGCCTCCCGAGTGCTGGGATTACAGGCATGCACCACCACGCCCAGCTGAAAATGATTATTAAAAGGTGACTCCAGCCCTAACCTTCCTGCCTGTCTCTTCCTGCAGACTCAAGTCCCCCGGCACGCCTTCTGGCCACCCGGCCCTGCTGTGGCCCTGGCCCAGAGCGGCGCCCAGTCCTGGGTGAAGCGCCGCGCTTCCACGCGCAGGCCAAGGGCAAGAATGTGCGGCTGGATGGCCACTCACGCCGGGCCACGCGGCGCAACAGCTTCTGCAACGGCGTCACATTCACGCAGCGGCCCATCCGCCTGTATGAGCAGGTGCGGCTGCGCCTGGTGGCCGTGCGCCCTGGCTGGAGCGGCGCGCTGCGCTTTGGCTTCACGGCGCACGACCCGTCGCTCATGAGCGCGCAGGACATTCCCAAGTATGCCTGTCCCGACCTGGTCACACGGCCCGGCTACTGGGCCAAGGCACTGCCGGAGAACCTGGCCCTGCGTGACACGGTGCTGGCCTACTGGGCTGATCGCCACGGCCGCGTCTTCTACAGCGTCAACGACGGCGAGCCCGTGCTCTTCCACTGCGGAGTGGCCGTGGGCGGCCCGCTCTGGGCACTCATCGACGTCTACGGCATCACCGATGAGGTGCAGCTCCTCGGTAAGTGGTGGGCGCTGGACCGGGACCCAGGAGGGCGGGCGGGTGCAGGGAGGAGGGCGCCGGGGTGCACAGCTGTTTCTTCACTACTGCTTTCCTGGGCCGCATTGAGCACTCAGAGGGATCAGACCCCAGCCATTGGTCTGTTGGGCAGGCAGGCAGATGTAAGCCCCGTCCTCACAGAGGACCAGCCACTAATAAAAGTCCTGGTGGTGGCAGCTCCTTGGTTTCACACACACACACACACACACACACACACACACACACACACAGAGTCTACCCTTACATTCTTTTTTTTTTGGAACCGGTAATCAAACTCAGGACGTCCCACTTACCAGGCAGATGCCATGCCATTGAGCTGTATCCCCAGTCCCTTACCCTTACAACTTTTAAAAATATTTTTTAATGGAGGTAAAATTCACATAAGAGGAAAATGTTTTAAAGTGTACAACTGAGCGGCCTTCTGTTGCCAACCATCACCTCTGTCTAGTTCCAAAACACCCATCCCAAGGGGCACACTGACCCATCAGCAGTTGCTTCCTTCCCTCCCTGGCAGCCACCAGCCTGCTTTCTGCGTGAGACCTTAGCTCTTAAACCTACAGTTTGCACCTGAACCAGTCAGCCTTGGCTTCTGGGCAAGTAAAGGGAGAGCAGGTTTCTCAGGGGTCCAGACACAGCCGTGTGTGTCATTCACCTGCAAGGACATGCACAGATCTCAGGGGTGGGTTTGACATTTATACGCCTGTCCCTAAGCCTGGAAGGTTCCCACGGAGCCAGCACCCTTCTTCCCTAGGGGTGGCCCTCCGCTGATTCTGCCACAGAACTTGACCTGAGTGGGATCAGACAGTGCATGTGCCCTCATATGGGGCTGACCCAGCGCAGTGTTTTGAGGATTCACCTGTGTGACTGCAGTACAGATCAGTGGCTTGTTCCTTTTATTGCTGAGTGGTATGTCGCAATGTGGATTTCCACAGTGGTATGTCTGAATGTTTGGGCTGTTTCTGGTTTTCAGCCCTGTATCTTGAGGGACACCCTGGCTTTGACTCCCTGCCCTCTGCCCCTACCTTTGGGCACAGGGGGAAGATTTGTACATCTAAGCCCTTTCCCCCAAGAAGCAAGAAGTTAATAGAACTTCTAAGTGGTTAGGAGTAGGCCCAGACTTGGGAGTCACAGAGCTCTCTGTCTAGACTTGGCTCTCCACTTCTGAGCTGTGTAGTCTCGGCCAACTGGCTAGGCCTCTCTGTGCCTCAGTTTTTTACCTATAAAATAGGTTCCTTACAGCACCTACCTCATGACTTCTTGACAGGGTCACATGAGATGACGGATGACAGCGGTGCAACACAGGGCTTGCTAAATGGAAAGCCTTTGAGATATAACAACTAGGAATAAGAATCTCTACCTATTGGCAAGTAGGCCAGGGCACATGTGGGTTCCTGGCTACCTACCCTGCACGCTGGGGCCCTATTCAGGCATTGTAACCATGTGCCGACAGTTCTCTTCTGTGAAAGGTTTTGGTATTTCACATCCAGAAAACACAGGTTTCTAAAACCTCCTAGCTCTCCGAGCTGTTTATTCCTGTAGCACAGAGATGCAGCCGCACCTCAGCCATCTGCCCATCCACAGCTCAACAATCACTCGACAATCAGCACAAATGGGTTAGGGTTTTTTAAAAATACAGACTGGAAGCAATCTTTGATAGTGTAATGAGATGGAATAAATCTGGGGGATGGACTCTTCCCACACACACTTTTTTTTTTCTGTACTGGAGATCAAACCCAGGGCTTTTGCACTGAGCTACATCTTCAGCCATTTTTAATTTTTGTTTTGAAACAAGGTCTTCCTAAGTGCCTAAGTTGCCCAGGCTGGGCTTGAACTTGTGATTTTCCTGCTTCAGTCTCCTGGATGTTGGTTCCCCCCGTTTCATTTGCATATTCAGCAAAACTTCATGTGATCTCAACAGTGTTTCCTGACCCCTGAAGGGAAGGGAGAGGTAGAGTCCACTAAAACGTTAGTGTAACACAGCAGACCTGAACCTCAGCTTCCGTATTTGCAAATTGTCCTTGTGCTGTGTTCGTGATGGGCTGTGGCTGCTGTGGGTGTCCCAGGACAGTAATCACACAGAGTTAGAATAGGAAGGTTTTTTTTTCTGGTACTGGGAATTGAACTCACGACCCTGCGCTTGCCGGGCAGTGGCTGTGCCTCTGAGCTAAATCTCCAGCCCCCAGAATAGGAGGAAATGAGATCAGAAGCAACTGCATCGCTGGGTGATGGGACCACCTATAAATTTCACTCTTCTTATATCTGTAAGAGCTACCTTTTAAAAACATATATTATGTAACATTTTATATATATATATATATATATATGTTATATATAGAAAGAGAGAGAGAGCTTGTATTTCTTTTACAGTCAGAAAAAGCAATAAAGTTATTATCCTTTCCAAAGGTTATGTGCAATAATGAAGAGGAAGTTTCTGACATGTGATTGAGGCTCAGTAAATGTTTGTTTCCTTCCCAAGGGAAAAGCATGTTGACATGGGTAGCATCTGGGTAAAAAGAAGGATCAGTGATTTTTTTTCTTCCCAAGTTAATGATAATTTATGGTGGGGGCGGAGTAAGTATAACAAACATAAGAAGAAAGCTATGCAGCTGTGATTTTGTATGGTTTAAGAATAGGCAACACATACTTGACTTTTGCCAGCACAGGGTGAGGCAGTGTGAGACCCTCAAAACTTCTCCCAAAAACCTCCCCATTCCTGGAGGAGCTTAGCTTCCCGAGGGTGGGGTCCCTGAAACCAAGTCGATGCCTGTGGGCCAGCTGTGTCCATGTTCTCCGGAGTCCTTGGGACGCCTGTGCATGGTGAAGAACAGAAGCATTGTGGTTCCTATAGGGGTTCTCGGCTGTTAAATTCCAAAACAGAAAGCCCTTGAGGGCCTTTCCATCCCTTTCTTGCCTCTCTCAGACCCAGTGGGCAAAGCCTGAAAACCAAAAACCAAAGATGGCCTCTGGACAGCGTTGTCAAATTTAGTAAAAGGAAAAAAAGAAAAAAAAAAAGACCAGCACTCCCAGTTCACTTTCAATTTTAGAGAAACAATGAAAATATGTTAGCACAAGTTTGTCCTGTGTGAAAGTATTTGGAACATACTTATGTGGAGGAAAATGTGTTTATCTGAAATCCACGTGTACCTGGGGCCCAGTATTTTATCTGGCCACACTGGTCTGGGAAACATCCTCCCATCTTGTGTGTAGGGTGCAGTTTAATTGCCCCAGAACTTGAGCCAAAGGTAAATGTCAGAAATCTGAAGCCTCAGTGGGTTTGGACCTGGTAGTACAGCATGCCTGGTCCAGTGTCTTCCTGTCCTGTTAGGTTAAGAGTCTGAGGTTCTGAGAAGGAAAACCCTGCAGGTAAGTGGCAGAGCCAGGATTAGAAGCAGTTATGTCTGAGCTTAGTTCAGTGCTTCTCAGTCCTAGCTGCACACTGAGACCCCTGAGGAGCTCTGAAAGTCCTGCTGCACCTAGGCCAGTGAAATCAGAACCCAGAGGGGGTGCTTGCAGGCATCTGTATTGCCTAATCCTCTGGTGACCCTAGGGGATATCCAGGATTGAGATCCCAAGGATCTGTTTGCCTGGGTGCATACTCACCTCCTTTCCTGCTTGGAAAGGTTGGGTGCCAAGCTGAGTTCCTCAGACTCCCCCGATCAGGGTGTGGCACCATCATGTGCCTGTGCAAGCCATGAATCCAAACCTAGAGATACAGTGCCTTCTGATCTCATTTCCCCATTATATATTTCTACACGCATTGTCCCATGTCGCCTGTGCCAGCTTTAGCCCGTTATAGTACGTCTGAGGGATGACTTGCAGATAAGAAAACTGAGGCTCACGTTTGCTAGGTTACATTGGCATTCTAGCAGACTCTCCATTCCCCAAAAGGTACACAGAGCAGCATAGGAGTTCCAAGAAGGGTTGCTGCACAAGCAAAGCCTGGACTTCTTGCTTCATTACCCACAGGCAGCACAATGGTGGCCAGCATCGTAGCGCCCCTGTCCTTCCTCTGCCCAGTGGCTGGAGGCTGCGGAGACTGAACAGGCAGTGGCAACCCAAGGCCATGATGTTGCGGACCAAACTATCAGAAATCGCTGGTTGCAAGTGACAGGATCATGGTTCCATCTCATTCAAGCAAGAAAAGGGAATCCATCACTTGTGACTGAAATTCTAGGGGACAGCTGCTAAACTCACATCTAACCTAAGCACATCCTCCCTAAAGTTAAAGCCTTTGTTGGCTTCCTCCTGAGCAGGCTCCCTTTGGGGTAGAGGGAAGGCCACCAGTTGCTCCTGGCCCACATCATACCAGCCCAAGATATTGGGCGGGAAAGCTACTTTCCAGCAAGGTCTGGGTAAAGTCTCAAGACTGAGCCTTATCCATCTGACTTGGCTCACACACCCATCTCTAAGCCCAGGTCTGTGGCTGGGGGAATGGGATAGTGATTGGGTAGTTTAAGGGACCCCTATCCTCAAGGTAATTACAAGTGGGGGTGGGGCAGTTCTCCCCAAAGAGCTGGTGCGGGTAACAGAAGGCAGTGGATGCCAAGGAGCCAGAATAACAGCCATCCATAGGCCTGGGAAGGCAGTCGCTAACTCACGTTTCCAGCAAGCATTGAGACCCTTTGTTACCACAGTTATCTCTCAGTATCTGGGCCTCCTCACCATGGATACCAAAATCCACAGGTGCTCAAGTCCTTCCTGTGAAACTACATGGTACTCACATATAACCTAAGCACATCCTCCCGTAAAGTTAAATCCTCTCTAGATGATTTATACTGTCTAATGCAATGTAAATGACATGTCAATAGCTGATACCGTATTGTTCAGGCAATAATGACAAGGAAAAGATTCAGTACATGTTCTGTACAGACGCAGTTATTGTCTTAGAACAAATTCCATCAGCACTGATGGGAAACCCGCAGGGCGGATGCCCTGTGATCCATCCTGGGCACTTACGTGGA